AGTGTTGTGCTTGTCAGTAAGTAAAAGTAGCAACCACTGGCTCCAAAAAAGAAAAAGACCACGAGGAAGAAAGCGACTCATTGGTTACCACATTAGTGTATTTGCCATGTTCTAAAAGGGTCACAGTCGTGTACTAGCCAGTGCATCTCGTGCTTAACTTACATGTCTCCTAGTTTGGCAGTGAGAATAACCAGCATGTGATTCAGACTAATATTTTGCTGTCTCTTACTATTTGATTAAATGACACTAAAATCTGAATAATGACTGTGTCCTCTCTCTCTTTCTCTCTCTCTTTGCTGTTTTCAGTAGAGCATGCGCCCTTTTGAACGTGAGTTTTCGGTAAAGTAAACTATACTGATCCCTCTCACTTTAAAGATGCTGTTTCTGAATGTGAAATGGGACCCAGTACGTCTAGTCTCTGAAGTGATGAACAAATGGGGAAGGAGACTTGAGACCATTTCCTTCACTGAACATTAAATGAAATGCAGCATCTTTAAAATGCACCCAACTGACTTCATTTACCTTCATTTCATTTCCATCATGACCTTCAAAATCTTCCTTTCCACTCTGATTTTAGTTTTAAAATGCAGCTCTAAAACCTACAAGTCAACTATATGGCATTTTGGTATATTTTAATTTTGGAAGCTAGGCTCTCAGAGTCCTGTCCCTGTACAAATGTTGTTCCTTGTTACTCTGATGAAGGGGAAAGGGTGCTGGCAGTTGAGTTCTTGGCTATGGAGAGACAGCTTATTGGGAAAAGCAGTACTTTTTCACAAATCCTTAATAATTCTGGAGTTGGGACATGACTGCAGCCTCCTCGTCTGTCTGAGACAGAAGGTGAAGGCAGATCCCAAGAGCTGGGGCCGCCTGCTTCCCAGGGTCCTGCTCTCCATTCCCTCGAGGGTAGTTGGCAGGTCTGGTGGCCGTGTGGCCTCCCCACCTCTGTGTGTGGACCACAAAGGAACATGGACTTACAGACACCTGTAGATTGCTATATTGGCCCAAGGCAAGGGGACCCACAAGGCTAGCAAGGATGTTTCTAACCTACGCTCTTGTTGCAACCGTCTGTGGCCTGTTCCAGGGCCTCGGTTGGATTGCCAGGTACCCATATGGTTTGGTGGATGGGATTCTGGGGAGGGTAGAGTAGTTGACTCTTGAGGTTTTTGTCTAAGACAAAGTGAGACAGAGAGATTAGGCCTGACTGGGTTGTGATTGTAGACAAGCTGTCTGGAGCTTCCTTCATCCTGGGTTGTTGCAGAACACTGTTTCTCAAAGCTGTGTGAGTTCAGTTAGTAACCTAACAGGGAAGCTGTCCGGTGTTGTCTATGGCCTGGGGATAAGGCTGTGGAAGCCTTTTGTTGGGGAGGAGCTCAGTCACATTTGAGGAATGGGGGCGCTCAGGAGTTAGGTGTTGTTTTCAGGTTTGTCACCAAAGAGCCAACTCTGAATTGGCCCTTGTTACTATTCCTCCCCTCCCCGCTTTGTTACCAATGTGTTGTAGCTGAAGCCCCAGTGAACTTTAAAGGAAGCTTGTGGACTATAGAAAAGGCAAAAAGAGTTGATGGGCCTAGAGTCAGACTGGGAGTCCCGGAGTCTGTGTCCTTGTCCAGGCCTTCTGACTCCTGGTCCTCCTCTCCCCTCCCCGAGTGCTCTGAGCTGGTTGGTGGGAGAAGAACCCTGAAAGCAGAGTCAGAAGTCCTGATCCTGATCATACACATCAGTATCTGCCCCAGGTGTCGCAGGCCCAGCGAGGAAAAGTGGACGTCATGGGATGGCAGGCCCTGCGATTGGTCGGCCCTCTGTGGGCAGACATCAGGGTGACCTTGGGACTTTGCTCTATGGTCCTGGATGAGCAACCTCTCCTTTCGCACAGCCCTCAGCTTCCCATTTGCATTGCAGACACAGGATACCCTGTGGCACTTTGGACAGTGTATTTATACCACCTACATAGTCCAGGAAATTCACTGCAAGTGGTAACAGTCTCAGCCTTTACTTGGAAATGAATATTCAGTTACAAACGCCACCTCCAACTCCCAAACCTTGTGGTAGTGAATTTGCATTTTTAATTTTGAGCTCCTGGTAATAGGCCATAGTCAAGGGTTGGTTCCTATGAAGACCAAGCAGTTTTGTCCAGACGGCAGCCCATGCCCACGTCCAGCCCCGGCAGCCCATTGCTAGCCTCCCAGGATCCTGGGCCGGAGGGGCATCCTCTCTGGATGGCCAGTTCCATGTCGTGAGGACACAAGTGCTGTTGCAGTCCAGACCCGGTCTCATCTGTAACCCACAGGGACTCTTCTGCCAGGTTCAAAGCACTAAGCCGGAAGGCAGAAGCGCCAATGCCCCCCCATACATGTTGGGCCCTGATCATCAGTCCACATTCTGCTGCCCTTTTCTGGTCATTGCATGGCAAGGGATGGGGGCATTGATGCTGCTCGGTCCTCCAGGTTCTGTGCTGCAGTTTAGTTCCTAGAGCTTTCAGAGGCGCAAGCTCCCTTCCTCCTGGTTTTTCACTGGTCACTGTCTGAAACGCCCTTCAGAGGAATGCTTGTATCACATACCCCAACACTCGTTTTACGTTTCAAGTCCCTTTTATCTTTGTAACCCAGTAACATAAGGCCAGGGACATTTTCCCACACTCCACCTGACATAATCGAATTTCATTCATTAGTTGTTATTGTATAGAACAAATAGAAACCACATTTTGTTCATTTGTCTGTTTAATGTTTGTTTGTATTGCTATATCATTTGAGAATTCCAAGACTGTAAAGCATGAGTGTGTGTGTCTGTGTGATTCTTTAATTTCAGCTGCCTTAGGTTTGGGTAAAGATATAAAGAAAGGTAAGTGGTTTTCTGTGAAACACAAGATTTTAACCATTGCCTGTCATGTACTTACCTAAGTGTTTTATTGGCAACCCTGAACCACTCATCCATATAAATGCACGGGGTGATTGGTATGTTTACCTGCTAACACCACAGCCCAGGAGCAGTTTAGGGGGGAACCACCTGGCAGAATTGTGTAGCCCTTGGAAGGGGTAGAGGGTAAGGCTCAAAACAGGTGGGTGGAGTCACTGAGAGCTGCAAGGTTCCCAGGAAATGGGGCAATGAACTCTGTGGCACAGGCAGGTCCCTTAAGGCAGGGCTTTTTCTGAATTCAGTCTTTATTTTGTCCTGGGAGAGCAGTTCATTCATTCAGTCAGAGCTATAACATTCAAGTACTAAATGTTTGTGTGCCTAGAAGCTAAGGGAAGTTTGAAACACATGTCTAGCTCCCTTGTTGCCCACCAGGGTAGAGCTCAACATTCCAGTCTCTCCTGATGCTTTAGCGAAGATGTAGGGTTAGTGCAGTTGTGTCTGTTGCTGGGTTGGGCCACAGTGGAAAGAAGGGAGCTTGAGGAAGACTCCTCTTCGAGAATCCCATTGCTGGGAAGAGAGAGCTCTTTGCCCTCTACTTTGCATTGCAATAATTATTAGCTTTTTTATATTTCTTTTAATGCA